TTATGATCAATGTATTATTATAGAACTAATGATAAGATTTACTGATTATTCCGTCTCATATTAAATGATTTAACGAAACTTTGTTATTATCCGAAAAAAAGGTACGAACAATCTTTTTAGCAAATTAATTTAACGAATTGATAGTAGAATCCTTAGGTGAAATTTTATTCCTGCGATAAGAAAAAAAGATTTTTCCTTTCTATTCTTTCTCAATTTTCCCGATAACCGTATAAAAAGAAAGTCCAAATAAATTTTTAGCGTTGAGAGAGAGAGTGAATTTCAACCTCGGAAATAATTCAGCATTTCTTTGACGAACGAGAGCTGGGAAAAGGCTGGAATATATTTTCGATAGGTGGTCAGCCATAGATCTTTCGTCGAGAAGATATATATATATATATATATATAGAGGACAGAGAGAGAGAGAGACAAAGAAAGAGTAAGAGAAAGAGTAAGAGAAAGAGTAAGAGAAAGAGAAAAAGAGGATAAGAGAACAGCTGCAGCTGTAAAGCGACAGGAAGGCTTCCGTAAAGTTCCGCGGAGCTGACGCGGCCGATCTCGCATTAGGCGAGCGAGTGCACACTCTCGCAACAGGATTGTTTTAATGCCATTTAAACTAATCGAATTAGAGAATGAACCGATGTGACGATACGGAACGATAAAAGAGGGTGTAGGAGGCAAAGACTGGATGGAAGAAGGGCTCAAAGAGGGTTAAGGGTGGTGGTGGTGGTGGTGGAGGGTGGTGGTTGCGATGACGATGGTGGTGGTGCTGACGGCCGGGATGGATACGCAAAAGGGGGCGCGTGGATGTGCAACAACAACCTCCCGTCCTGCAAACTTCGCAGCTGCCAGGCACAGCACCCACTCGACCGGAAGTAACGCGACTACTGCCTACTACACGTCGCTCTCTGTCTCTCTGTCGGTCTCTCTTTTTCTTTATCGCCTCTTCCTTTACCAACACCACTCTTCTCGTCATACCTTTTTTTTCATTTTTTCTTTTCCACTTACTATATTTATATCTGTACTATCTATCTCACTTCAATTATCTGTCTCCACTCATCGTTGCATATCTCGGTGCCGTGCCGTGCCTTCTTTTTCTATTCTCGTTGCTCTTCTACTCATCCCTGTCATTTACATGCTCCAAATCAACATACACTTATCGATTATTTATGATAGACGCACACTTAAAGCGTTAAGATTATTTAAAAAGTTATAGTTACCGAATTTTTATTGAAAAAGCCAAATGGAATAGGGTTATCCTTGATTTCGATTAATTGAGTTAACTAATTCATTTAATTATACGAATTATGCAATTCGCACAATGATATAATTGACCTTTTATTTTAATTTTTATATTATTAAAACACACAAAATGATTTTTATTCTTATTTATTATTCAGAAATAAAGAAATAGTGATTTTAAAAAAAGAATACATATCGGAGGATGAATCGTAAAGATTAAGAATGGCAATATTTTTGAAGGAGAAATCCTTTAGAAATAAATACAAACATGAGAAGGGTAGGAAAATCAAAATCGTGTGAAAAGCGTGCGCCCAGTATGGAGGAAATTTTCAAATATAAAACGCAAGAATCGTAAAACTCGTGTTTACGGTGACTACGTTCTCCCTCTTTTTTGCCTGTTCATTTTACATCGTGGTGTTTTTTGCGAGCTGTCAGGAACACGAGGATTTACACGTGCTCACACATCACGTACATGGTGACGGCGTGTGTTACCTAAATGCTAATTGCATATGTAATTCATTACCGCTTCGATGCGCATATAGGGACGCACGCTCTCCCGCGCTCCTGGAAACGTCAGAAATTAAAAATCGCCGCACATTTTCTCGCAATCGTAGTAAACTCTCTTTATATATATATGTATGCTCAACACACGTGTGTATGCGTACGTAGTTTACACACACAAGGGAGAAACGCAACGAGCGTTTCACACCGTCGAATCGAATCGAATCATTTCTACTTCGCTGCTAATGCACGTGTTTGTAGCTCTTCGGGGGACGAGCTCAAAGCTCGCGCGTTATGCGAAATATTACTTCGCACCCTGAAATAATCACTTTTTTCCTTCGAAATTTACAATTTCTAACTTGAATGCTGTTCGCGACGGTTCCACTTTATCTTGCCGCATGCCTTCTCCTTTTACTAAAAATTGTCGAAATAAAAATCTCGGATTACTTCTTTTGATTATTTTTTCTCGCAGAACTCGTTTGTTTGAATACATATATATATGCGTAGTACAAATTTAAAAGAAAAATTCAAACTTTAAATAGTTCAAAGTATTTTTGATAATCAAAAAAAAATGTATTATACGAAATATATACTTCAAATTGTTAAATCATTGCATACGATATAAATACTTCAGTTAAATGTTAAATCTACAATTAAGTTATGTACAAGCTACGTTGAACATAATATGCCTATTGCTTATTATACGTTTCTCCTCTGTCCTCCCTCTTTCGCTTTACTCCACGTCGCTGAATTGCGTACCCCTATCCTTCATTAAATATGTCTATGCACTCTTACTCCTGTAATACATACACATTCGTCTGAAAGCAAATGATGATTATTATTTCGTTTGGTAAGTGTAAGACACCTTTATAATCATTTCCGACATTTCGTATACAGTGATAACACGTCAAATAATAACAACGAATATAAAGCGACAAATTATAATACGAATATGTATTCACTTTAATATAAGTTAATCATATTATATATATTCTCGATGTTCAAATTATTTAATATGTTATCACATAACTCTTATCTCTCCATAATATAAAAAGAAACTCTAGAATTCTGTTAGTTAAAGAAATTTAAAGGGCATTTAATTTAACAACATTTTTGGTTAATTCTATGCATGTAACATATTTCAATAATTACCAGAAACGTAATTAAAATAACAATAACAAATATATAAGACGAAGAAAAATCCTGTAATGAATATTTTGTCTATCCACGAATATATCGTCCACTCTTAGTTGATATTAAATAATAATGAAAAAAAAAAAGAAAAAAAAAAAAAAAATAACGCCGAGCGTAGCTCGAAAGGCATGTGTTAGATAAAAAGAAAAAAAGATAAAAAAAGGAAAGGCTATTCCTTGTGGAGTGGTTTACTGTATATACAAGATGGAATAGCGCAACGCGCATGTAACATCGCGCTGATCCAACCCTCCGAAAAAGCAACCCCCCTCGAATAGCCGGTTGCAACCCTCCAATCGGCATCGCTCCGCCCCGTACCACCACTCTTGGTGCACCCCAATAGCCGTGCGCCGGTTTATAGTCGCCTATAGGACTGCAGCTTCTGCCTGGCGTTGGGAGCGCGTCGGTAACAAGCCCACTGAGCTTGCTATCCCCGCTATCATTGTTCCTTTTCGTGAACGTTTCAAGAATTGAACGTACTTCCTCATCATACTCCTATCCGTCTATTCTTCGAATCCTTCTTGACAATCCACCTTCCACTCCATTTACATATCCTGTATAAGATATCAACTACCAACTGTAAATCCATATATATATATATATATATATATATATATATATGTGTGTATATATATCTTGAAATCATTGCACCCCGATATCGATACTATTTCTTTTTTTTTATTTTACTGATTTTATTCTACAAAATTATTGCACTTTAATACTTTACACATCACATGTGGTATTTTATATTTCTATTTTTAATTTTATTTTTGTACGACACCTTCCGATTTTGTCAATATAAATATTGAAATTTATTTGAAAAGACAATTGTTATTTCATTTGTTAAAATGAGATGTAAAAAGTATGATTTTTGTTTTACTATATGTAATATTATCTTCTCTTGTAAATGGATAGATAAGTGTGATATGTACCAAAGGGATTTGATAAAAATAATTTCATGAAATGCTTAGGTGCATTGCACATAAATTCGCTAATTCGAGATATGGAATGAGAGAAGAGAAGAAGAGAAAATGTTGGATTTAAGCTGCTAATAAAAAGAAGTATTATATATTTTTTTCTTTAAAAAAATCATCAAAGTAGCCACAAATTAATGAATCCGTCTAAATTATACTCCGTCATTTTGCAAACATACAAAGAGACGAACGTAGAGTAATATGACAAAAAAGATTAATTATCAGGATTAATTACGAACGTTAAATCTTTGCGCTTATTTCAAAAATAGCTCGCTGGTAATTCGTCCTGTTAATTCATTTCGGAGGTAGGTACGCTAGTCTTACGCATACTCAACACACGATTTCTACGTAATAACGCAACGTTCTACCTCCGTACTATGTGATATATGTATTTAAAGAGCAAAGATGTTTAACTATAATATTTCGTATTTCGTTCCCACTGAAAATTCGATGCTAAAAGACGAGCGAGCCATCGTGTTAACTTTTTAATTTATATTCATCGGTGCAGATATTAATTTTAAAGAGGCGTACATTTAAATAGATATTACTAAAAAGAATAACGTGTTATTTCTATTTCAATAATATTTTTCTTCATTTATTTTAAAACTTGAAATTAAAATAAAAGCTTTGATATACATATATATACAATAATTGATTACATTCAACGAAGCAAAGCTTTCTCCCTTCTTTTGAGAATCCATTTTCTTGATTCGTAGATCCCTCGTTTTCACTCCAAAATATTATGAGCGTCCAATACATTAGTGGAAAGTCTTTTCGAGTATTCAGTATATCTTACGATGTAGACGCCACCAAGGCATTAAGCTGAACATTACCGAGGAATATTTTACCTTTTAGCTTTCACGCTATACGTTTTGAAATACCGAGATGCATGCTCATTTCGAGATTATTCTCAACAACTTTGATGTATCTCTTCGACAAAAAGTGAAACTGACTACCAAAATTTATTTTTCACTTAAATAACTAAGATAATACGATTTAATTATGAAGAAGAGAAAATAACAAATACACGTGAATGTTGATCCCGAAAAATATATTTGAAATTTAGGAAAAACAATTGTTCTCTTTCGATATTCCATTTGAACACTTTTATTCAAAAAATAATAATATATATTTTACGTTACACTTTATCCAGGCTTATATTTTTTCCTGCAGCGAATTCGTTAGTTAAATAAATCAGAATATATACAAACTACACAATTAATTAAAATTACTTTTATTCGCATTACCAATTCCTGAGAATATGAATTACGTAATTGTTTAATATTCTTTTTAATTTTGTGTTATCGTTCATTCATTCATCTATATTATTATTATTAAATATATTTGTTTAATAATCAAGTTTCATCTATTATAATAATTTATAAAAATAATCATTATATTTCTCTTACACATTTATATAACAGTTCAACAATCCTCATCAATTTTAATAACACAAGCTTTATTATAAAGACACGAGAATTCGTAATAGAAGTAGGACTTTCTAAACAGAAGGAGCCCATATTGCCAATTCTACCCATTCAGAAATCTCGCGGTAAACTCAAAAGATATCTATGCGAGTGAGATGTGGGGAGATTCTTCCTCGAAACACATCCACCTCCATCTGTAGATCTTTCTCACTCTCCTCCTCACAGTTCCTATACCACTTCGCCCAAGCTCTTCTCTCGTTCGTACTCTCGCCATGATCCACTGTGAAGAGGACACATCGACTTTAAACCTCAGCCAAGCAAGCAACCAACCTACGGACCCTACTACGAGTCTCCTTTCATTAGTTGGAGTAGAGAACCAGCCAGCCAACCAACCTACCTACCAACTAACCATCCATCCAACCACCGCAACGACCTACCCACCATTACCAACACTGCCTTCGTCAGTGGCGGTACTACTACCAATATCACCATCATCGCCAACGTCGAAAGGAGGAAAAGAGAGAGAGACAGAGAGAGAGAGAGGGAGAGAGAGAAAGGGAGAGAGAGAAAGGGAACGAGAGCTTCCATGATCTACTCTCGTTTCTGGCGCCCGGTTCCTGATCTTGCATGCGGTTGACTCGTTTTCAATGAATACAATGCCGAGACAGATCATATTGAATATGAAAACGGGAAATCAACGAGTACTCCATCCCCTTTCCTTTCTACCCCTTTTCGAACCACCTCGTTCGTGTACCCATGCTTCCATCCATCCCTCTCTCTCTCTCTCTCTTTTTCTCTTTCTCTTCCGTTCTCTCACTCGCTCCTACCACGGACTAACCGAACCGACTGGGGACAGGATTTCCACGAGTTCGGCTGTTCTTTGTCGAATCGAGCCAAAGAGAGATGATGCTAGAAAGAAATGAAAGAAGTGAAAAGAGAATGAGAGAAAAAGGAAAAAATTATATCACGGATACCGACCATCGAAGTAGATATGGTAAAACTTTAGTCGGTGATATTCAACAATGTTTAATCAATACATGCTGGATTAGCATGGAAATTTGCTTGTTTTAACATCTCTCGATTCATTATCTTTTTCTTCGTCATTTTTATCTTTCATCTCATTTTACTTGCGCTTTGCTGCGTGCCTTTATTCGCTAAGATTCTTCATTTAGAGCCAAAATCTTTTTTCCAATATGCTTTATCTAATTATTAGCTTTGTTTTATTTTTCCAATCAATTTGTTAGCAAATGTATACGTTGTTTTAACAAAATATTCGTATTACAACATAAACATCAGATAACTGCATTTATTTTTAGAAGAGATACACGTACTTTGTATGCATTATCGTATTCATCGTTCCATTTCAATGTTACTATATTTCCTTCTTAGATTTATTTTCTCTCTTTTCTTTTTTTTTAAGTATAATCTTAATAAACACGTTAATTCGCGAGAGATAACGATCTCTTTAAACCGCGTTGAAATAGGACCAATGGAAAGCGATAAAGTGGAATTATTAGGAGTTGAAATCGAGATAGCAATGTTACAACTAGTCTTGCATGTTGTTTACTTTATAAGCAAATCGAGAGCTCCCATTATTTCTCGAGTAAAATATTCCTATATAACTATGTGTGGGCGTGTTTACGTAAGACGTTAATATATAGAATGTAGGTGCATAAATATACATACATATATATATATACTTTCTATATACGTATATTTATGTATGGCAAACCATTGGAAATTTGCGCGCGCATCCTTTGTGTTTCGTTAAGAACGAAAGGCCGCTATGCGAACAAACGAGTGAGGGCTCGGAGTGTCTGAATATCCTTTAGCCCGAAGAGGAGAATGAGTCAACTGTTAACGACTTATCCCGGATTACGTTTTCTTTCGTTCCCGCTCGCTCCCCATATTTCGTTCCCGTGGGCTCGCAGCAAATACACTTCGTTAGGCGATCCCACTCGCCGTTGTTTTCAAGCGCGAGCAAACTATGCACTTTACCCTCTACACAACTAGTGCCTTTAACCCACTTACAGCCCTGTTCGGTATATTCTATAGACACGTATTCACGGCCAAAGTCAACCAAAGTCGATTTTCCCATAGTCCCCGAGCTTATCGTTATTCGAATATTCGAAATAAATTTTTGCTGTTGGAAGAAAAAAGAAAAAAAAGAAACTGAAAATCTTTCCTCCACCTTCTAACCCGATTCCGAATAATACAGAAATGAAGTTTCGCGAACAAATATGACGTATTTAAGTCAACGAGCTTTCCAACCATAACCAACCCTTCCTTCTTTTATACGTAAAAGAAAAAAGAATTCTAGGTCGGAACGATTAAACCATCCAAGGTAGGGTAATTACCTCCGCGGTCTCTCTCTCTCTCTCTCTTTTTCTTTATTTTCTTTTTTCCTTTTTTTTTAAGTAATTCGTAATTAAAAATAAAGAAGGAAGTAGAAAATGAGGGAGGGGGGGAAGGTAAAATTGGAGTAGAAAAGACGAAACGGATTCGCATCTTTCGCATTCGACGGATGGTCGACTTCTCTGACTCTTCTTGCTTCTCTTGTTCCTCCTCATCCGGAGGTGGGCGGAGGAAAAGGGGGGAGGTAGACAGAGGGTAAAGGAAAGCTGCATGCCGTTCGCCCATTGCTGCCGTTGCTCTGCTGCTATTGCTACCACAGCTACAGCTCTTCTAGTTCTCTCGGCGACTCTTCAGCTCTCCGCGAGAGAGGAATCTCTCAACAGTCGCGCACAAAGCTTATTATGCCGGCATGTTTCGGTCTTCCTCTCTCACACATCTCTGTTACTCTCCAGCCTCTGGAGAAGTACATGGACTGGTGCTCGTTCTGCCATGGTACAAGTTAAGTCGATGGCACTCGACGAACATCCTTCCTGTCTACATTCTCTTCCCTCTTCCATCTCCTCCTCTTCCTTTTTCTTCTTCTTCCTCCCTTCCTTTTCTCCTCCTCCTCCTCCTCCTCTTACGCCTTCGCCTTCTATCCGTCTATCTACTCTATCGTCCTCCTTCTCCGCATTTCCCTCTTTCCAGCCACCCTTTTCTTCTTTTCCGTCCCATCCTCTACACCAGCAGTTCCACTTGTTTGACCTGAAGAGCCTTCAAACCACCTGGCTTGCATTCTCGCGCTTACCCGACGTGCGTCGCTTCATGCCGAATAACGTCGACGTCACTCGACCTCCTCCTCCTCCTCCTCATCCTCCTCTTCCTTTTCTTTCTCCTACTTTTCCTCTTACTTCGTCTTTTCCATCTCCAACGTTGTCGACTACTCGACGACCGAACATCCGATTTTTCTCTTTCGTTACACTCCTCCTCGCCAAATTTCGAAATTCCTCTAAACGTCAAAGTTCCGATTACTCTTCATTCACGAGTTCTCGATTCCTTCTTTTACTTCTTTCATAGTTAAAAAAGATAATAAATGTAATTGTTTGATAAGCTTTTATACATGCCCTATAACCAATTTCTTGTGGCACGACTTATTCAATTACAGTAATTTCTTGAAATAGTAATGCAGATCAAGTTTGAAGTAACATTATTTTTATCTTTACGCGAGCATGCCCTGACATTCATAATATCCTAATTAAAAATTCTCCCTTTTCGATGTTCCCGATCGTTCGTTCAGAAATATTGCTCAAAGTAATGAATTTCATATTTACTTTAGTACTATATGAACATATATGCAACATGTTTTCATCGAAATGCAAATTTGTCCAATAATATTTCGACGATGGAAACGATATGCATACGTAAATATATTGAACGTATTGAATAAATCTAAATTCATAGAAAAAAAGAGACTATACTAACTAATCTATAAGAATAAGATTCACCCTGATATAAGTAATAAAAATATAATAAATAGAGTAAAAATGTGTAAGAATTATATAAGAAAATATTCGTCGAACTAATACTTTCACCAAAATAGAGAAGTATGATTCAAAAAAAAGAAAAGAATAAGTAGAAGAAGAAGAAGAAGAAGAAGAAGAAGAAAAAGAAATAGATGAATAAAGAATTGAACAGAGAAAAATAAGGTGAAAGATCCGATACGTTCGAGGACGATGTTGCGACGGTGAGCTCCGTGGCTCGACTGATCGCCTTCTTCCTCGAAAAGCCTTATATAGGCTTCCCCGAATTTTGTGGTCCACTTAACTAGAAAACCTGGTGCTTATCCGACTCCCGGAGCCGGTGCAAAATTACACGCTTCGGCTTATCAAGCCGTGAAACCAGTATTAAGCGTCAGACGAACGAACGCGCGCGCCTGCCGCTCGTGCACGCGCAGCGCGGAGAGGAAAAGGTCTCTCTCCGGTTGCCGACGAAGAGAATCACTCGGCCGAAGCCTACCAACTTCTCACCACCAGCCTTAACCATCACTGGACCCGCAATGCATCGTTGACTTTCTTTACACAACGCTTACAATTGTCTTTCCGATATTTTCCTCCTTTATTTCTCGTCTTTCGTCTCTCATCTTTCATCTTTTTCTATCATTTTTATTTGAATCTTCAAACAACCATCATCTTCATTTAAATCACACAACTTATCGAAGCTTTTTATTAACGATACATTCTATCATTATTTAGTTTTCCTTATCTTCGAGAAAGAACTTTTCAAATGTATCCAATCGTAAGATTTTTTTTCCTATTATCAAATGATTTTTTGTTCTTTTTCAAATAATGACGATAATACTTAACGACGTTTTCTTACAAGTCAATAAGGAAGATAAGTATATATTTGTAAGGAAATGATTAGTACATTGTGTAGTTGGTTCTGTAATCCGTGTTTATTGTAATTGTGAAACGTAAACGTTATAACGTGCAATCTTTTATTCGCATCTTACAAAATAATTCCTACGCTTATCTTGTAATTATAAAATGCAACGAATAGAACGTAATTATTATACCGCGTACTACACGCTTGAACTTTAATATAATATTTTATAAGCTTCTATCTCTCTCTTGATATATGCGTACGGGAAATTGAAAAGTCTATTACCAACGATAAGTTTCATATACACACACTTGTGGTTTAGCGTTGCATATTTCTTTGTTGAAATTGTTTACGGATTCAATCGAGTCAAACTAATCAATTATTCGATTTATTAATCGAATGCATCGATATGTATATTTTCTCTATTCTCAAAAGACTCGTTTTAAATTCGTACGTCGTATTTGTGATAAAACAGACAAATCATTTTTAAATATTAGTAGTTTAAATTTACTCGATTATCATAAATCCATTCAACGAAAGAATTATTCGATAAAAAGCTTAAAATACTTTTCAATATAAAACATAAAAACATAAAGAGAGAAAAAGAGGGATAGTAAAGTTGTATTATATTACGTTGTGTACAGTTGTGTCATTGTATCGTCACTCGAAGCATAGTTTTTATCTAATGAGGCTGATTAATTACTTGCACGTTGAAGTTTTATTAATTGCTTCTATTCGCTCGTTCGACTCTTCGAGCGTTCATTATAACCTCCGCAGCAGCCGTTTTATATTTCCAACTAATTGAAATTCGTTTGTAAAAGTGTCGTTGAAATCGTTTAATTTCATTATTTCTCTTAAATCGAGACTAATAGCTCAATATTGGTTTTATGAATGAAATTTTTAATGCATCGTAATACCCGTATAGTATATCCGACTTTTGTTATAAAAATTCAATATTATTCTTAAAGAAAGAATTTTTCAAAATGATAGAATAGAAATAATAAAAATAGAAGAGAAGATATCTTGTTGTTTTATAAAATAATTAATGTTTCTTCGAGAAACAATGAATAAATACATAGACTATATGTTAAGGTAACATCAACATATAATTTTATACAACGAAATAATGGTGCGATTTCGAAAAACAAACGATGTAGAAGTAAAAACGTAAAAGGGGGAAAATAATGATAATACCAATAAGGTGGATGAGAAAATGGATAAGAAAAACAGATGGTAGAATGCTTTCTTCTTCGAGGCTACACCCCCTTTGAAACGATCCCTGCGATATCCTTAGCTTAGAAAGGATCCTTTCGTCCCGCATAACTTTCTCTTTCATCGACGAATTTCTTACGACTACGATTCGATTGTGATCCGAATCAACTTACATGTACGAGGATGTGTACATGCATGTTCCGGGTTAGTATAACTTTTTTAAATATAATCTTTTTTTTATAATTTATATATTTTTATTATAGATACTTTTAAATATATATTGTCCATCTTTTATTTGCAACATATATATCGATTCTGTTTCCTAAAAAGTATATATCATTTAAAATTACAAATATATAATTATTATAATTGAAGCTTTTCCTAAAAAAGTAACTTGTCATGGTAATAGTACATCATAACATTTTTCACGTTCCTAAGCAATCGCCCCTATGTTCCAACAGAGCGGCATATGTCAATGACGTAAGACCATGGAACGGAATTAGGCTCGCTTAGGAGAAAATTGATGGCCGCCACCCACGCGACACGTTGGAAACTCTCTCGGTGATACCGGAGAACGTGTCAACAACAGGGACGTCATTTTCCGACAGCGTGACTCGTGCTTTTCCTTTTCTTAAGGCGTTCTTTTGTGTCGGACTCGACCGTTCCATGCTCGGCTTGGCCTGCGAAACGACATACGATATTAACGCATGCGTCAAAAAGAACGGCTAACGGCGGAAAGAAGAAAAAGGGGAACAGAGGATAGGGGACAGGGGACGGGGGACAGGGGGGACGGGTGCCGGTGTTGCTGCTGGCGAAGAGAACGTACAGAGACCAAAGAAGAAAGAGAAATAGAAAGGGATGAAAAAAAGAAAAAGATCGAGTAGGAGGGAAATAAAGAGAAAAGAGAGAGAGAGAGAGAGAGATAGATAGAAATAGAACACGTACACGGAAAAGAACGCGGCGAAAAGCTCGGGAAACGTGCGAAATGACGGCTGCGAAATTTCCAGGGAAAACAATTTGCCGCTCAAGACGACGAATCCCTTCTCCCTCTTTTTAACACGAAAAGCACTCGAACTCCATAATGGAATTCTACGCGTCGCGGAGGGCTCTGACTTTATCTCTCTCTCTCTTTTTCTCTGTTTTCTCTTTCTATTCCCTTCCCCTGACTTTCTATTCAACGTACCGATCAGAGCAGAGCGACCTTTTCGATTTTCGGCCTCGTTATAATTCGACGATGCACTTGGCTTTCGTCTCGAACGCTCTTTGCCGTGTTTAATGAGATACGGAGCTTTGTGGTTCAAGTCCATTCCGGGAAAAGACAATTAAATTCGAAATCGTTTGGTAAATCTTAATTCGTTTGATAAATTGCTCTTGGAATCGATCGTGCACGCGAATCAAAAGAAGATAAAGGAGGTCCGATGATATTTCATATGGAAAAGAAGCTATACAATTTTAAGCAAAAAAGTATAATTATAAAAATATTTGATAAATTTGTAACTGGGTTATAAAAATTGTCATTAAGTGATATATGAAATTCTTCAAATATTCGTGGCTCGATCGCTAAATATTCCTCTAAAGCAGGATCACTGTTGATAAATGATACATATAGCATCGCAAATTTCGATTCAAAGCAAATCTTGGTTTCACGTATCCCTGTAGGACAGTGTAAACTCGTAACGTGAGAAACGAAACTCTCACTTGCGTCGTTGCATTGATTTCAACTGGACGAACAATACGCATGAAGTACGAGTACCCAGAAGTCCAATTGTCTCTCTCTCTCTCTCTCTCTCTCTCTCTCTCTCTCTCTTCTGGTTTCTACCCATACAGTTCGTTCGCTTTTCGTGCGATCTAACCATGGCGGTTGTGCGCGACGTTGAACAAGTCAAGCGTTCGACACACAATGGAAGCAGCTTAAACGGCAGTAATTATATTTGCGGGTGAGTGTCGACCTGGATGGTGCACCAGCAAGTAGTAGTCCAGTTGGTTGTGAGGAATGAGAGGGTACTGGTTACGTTGCCGACGTACATGTATCGCAACCTACCCCTCGCGAACAACGCCACGAAATACAATTCTCTGTTTCTCTCCCTCTCTTTCTCTTTCTCTTTCTCTTCCACTTCCTCGCTGCTATTACTGATGGTGATGACTATCAAGGGGCGGGAAGGTTCAACGCAGAGGCGCCTATAACACACACGCCACGACATAGCACCACGTTAACCAGTGGTTCTCCACTATATTCTGTAAACTTGTAACAGATTATTACATTTATTCAAGGATGAAAATGTTTTTAGTATCTTCCCCTGGTATAAATCTAAATCAAAAATTTTTCGGTAACGATCGTAAGTACTTATACATTCTATATTTTAAACTTTGTTCATTTACCTTCTGTCTCTCAAATCGAAAAATCAACTACTTTTGATACTGATTTTGAATTCATCCTCGTCCGCCATCATAATCTCTGTAAAGCATATAAATATATGTAATATTAATAAAACATCATTGATATATATTTTTAGACGAACATAAAAGAAATTCTTTCGACAAAAAGAATTAAAGACTTTTAAATCGTTAAGATTAACACGCTCCATTTATATTACAATAACCCTCCAATTCATTCTATAGGAAAATACTGAGAATCTCTGTGACTCGTACAAATCACACAGAGACGCACTTGGTCGTTCGAATTTTACATTTATTTTGTTTTTTTTCTTTTTTTCGTATGCGTTAAGAGCGATCGCGTACGAGCGGCGCTCGACTAGAGCGAAAAGGAAAGAGAGAAAGAAGAAGAGAGATGATGGAATAGGTTGTAGAAGGGGGAGGAGATGGAGAGTAAGCTCGGTCGCTCGCGCGCGCACGCAAGCACGCACGCACCCCCGCGTCGTTATTAATGGTAATACAAATTTCAAGAGTCATCGAGCGCTCTTCAATCTGAATGCCTTCTGCTCGTGACGTCACACGAGCTCCTCTCAATATTTCTTCGTTCTTTCTCTTTCTTTCTTTGGTATAAAGAACCACGTTTCCCGCACCTACCACCCTACCTCCCTCCCTCTGACCCTTTCTCTGTCACCAGAAGTTTGTTGTATGTTTTTATTCCCGATGAATGACTCAATCGCTTTGCCTTTGCTATCCACGAAGCGAGTATGTGAAGAGGCATACGCGTGCGCCTCCAATGGGAACACTTCAACGAACTCGACTTACGTAATGCGAAAGACCGCGAGAGAACAAGCGCGGAAGGAAGAAAATAAAAGTAAGAGAAAGAGAAATAGGAGAGAGAAGTAGGTAGAGA